TAGTAATTTTTTGTTCTCAAATGAATCCAGGTACTTGGTTCTTGAGGTCACCACAAGGTCGCGAAAAAATCTGAAGAACAATTTGCCCAATATATAACTGACAGAATAGCGTATCGAGGAGGCTCATTCCTGTTGACAAGAGGCAAAATTGTCGCTACTAGGGAAATGAAAATACTCGACTTTTTAGGGAAGGTCATACCAATACTCCAAAAAACTGAACGTTTGAGCATTCTTGAGAATACTATTAGTGGATCTTTATTAATTGAGGAAAACCTAACTGGTGAGCTCTACTTAAATCTGCTTGAATAAATAATAGAGCCGTAAATAACAACTACTTCGACAGGGCTTCCCAGGCCCTTAGCCAGCGAAGTCCCTGTTCACTAAATATATACAAATCCATCTGCAAAAACGCTACATGGAATGTAATAAGTATGTATGAACCTGGGAAACTGAGAAATATACAGCAAAAGATGATGAGACTGGAGATCGATATATTAGGAATAAGCAATACAAGATGGGTCAGCTCTGGCGAACTCAATACAGATAATGGACGAATTTATTACCCTGGAAGCAGCGACACTCAACACAGATATGAAGTTGCTATGATCCTGTAAAAGTAACGAGATCAGTAACAGGCTTCGTTCCGATGGCCAAAAGAATTATAATGCTGCAGCTATTGACAACCCATGGAAAAATGAACCTAATTCAGATTTATGCGCCAACTGCTGACAATACTGAAAATGAAATAGAAAACTTTTATAGCGAACTTCAAAAAACATTACATCTCATAACATCTAGAGACAAAACAGTGATCATGTGTGATTTCAACGCAAAAATTGGCGAAGGAAAATGCTACCCTAATGTAGGACCATATGGGCTTGGTGAACGAAACGACAGAGGAGATCGCCTAATAGAATTTTGCCAAGAGCATAATGTTATAGCCGCAAATACATTTTTTAAATTACCTAAGCGATGCCTTTATACATGGAAATCGCCAGCTCACCAAGACAACCAAATCGTCAGAAATCAAATTAACTACATCCTAATACACACAGATATCGAAACTCAATTCAGGCAGTAAAGGCATATCCAGGAGTAGACGTATCCTCTGATCACAGTCTTCTTATTGCTATGTTTCAACTTCAATTTAAAAAGACGCACAAAAGTCGCAACAACAATAAACTTAACATACAGAAACTAAAGAAGATTTATGTTATAGTATGTTAATTTTCTTTTATTTCAAGAAAATCTGAAACACGAAATCAACAGAAATCTAGATAGAAACCCAAGAAATATTTGCAACGTAGAGCAGCAGTGGCAATTCTTCAAAACCTTCAAATTGGAGCCAAGTAAGAAAGTACTTACAACGATCAAATGTAAGAAAAAAGAATGGATGACCGAGGAAATTCTAGAGTTGATGAATGAAAGAAGAAAAAACAAAACCATCAATACGATCCGCTATAAACAGCTTCAAAACCAAATAAGAAGAAAAATTAGGGAGGCTAAAGAAACCTACTTCTCTGAAAAATCTAAAGAAATAGAAGAACTGCAAACCAGATATGACGACTTTAATCTACATAAAAAAGTCAAAGAACTAGCCGGAGTAGTCAATAGAAGAACCTCAAATATATTGATTGACAAAATGGAAATATTATATGGGAGACAGAACAAAAACTACGACGATGGAAAAAGTACATCGAGGAATTATTTCATGACTAGAGAGAAGCTAGTATATCTGTAGATAGACAAACTGGAGATGTAGGCCCAGAGATAAATAAATCAGAGGTTAGTCAGGCATTAAATTCAATGAATATCAATAAATCCGCTGGTCCAAATAAATTACCAAGCAAGCTATTAAAGTTGGTCAACGAGAAAAACCTGGACATAATAGTAGAACTGTTCAACGCTATCTATGCTACGCAAATCATCCCTAGAGAAATGTTGATATCAGCATCTGTGTGTTTGCCAAAGAAAGTGAATGCCAAAGAGTGTAGTGACTATCGAACCGTAAGCTTAATGTCACATACCTTGAAAATTCTGTTGAAAATTATGCACACCAGAATTCACTCTAAACTGAAGCTGGATATTAGTGACACACAATATGGGTTCCGCAATGGTATGGGTACCAGAGAGGCATTATTCTCCTTCGACGTGCTGATACAGAGATGTTTGGATGTTAATCGTCCTCTTTACGTCTGTTTAATAAACTAAAATAAAGCGTTTGATAAAATAAACATGTCCGACATGTTTAATATTGTCCGATAAAGTATACATGACCGACTTATAGAAATTCTAAAAAATACAAACTTAGATGAAAGAGATTTAAGGCTAATAACAAATCTTTATTATAATCAGCGAGCAATAGTACCAATTCAAAAATAGACATCTGAAGAAATGGAAATAAAGAGAGGAGTCAGACAAGGCTGCATACTATCACCTCTATTATTTAACGCTTATTCTGAAGACGTAATCGAGAAACTCTGAAAGATGAAACAGTCGGCATAAGAGTAAATGGAGTCTTAGTTAACAACATTAGATATGCAGATGATACATTAATAATAGACGATAGTTTACAAGACCTGGAAAGACTCATAAGTATTATGTAAATTAATAGTTTTGAAATTCATTTTTTTTATAGCCTTTTTTCTATCCGAATTGTCGAATAAAGGCCTCTCCCATTTCTCGCCATTCATCCCTGTTGTGTGGTAGGCGTTTCTACATTGGTCCTGCGACCCTTTTGATATCGTCGCTCCAGCGCATTTGAGGTCTTCCTCTTGGTCTCTTCGCATCGTACGGTAGCCAGTTTCCGACTGCTTTGTTCCATCTACCATCTTCGAGACGTTCGTTGTGTCCAGCCCGTTTCAATTTTAATTTAGCTGCTTGTTTCGCGGCGTCCTTTCTTTTTGTTTTGTTTCGGATTGCTTCGTTCGTTTGTCGATTAATTAGTTAGATAGCAAGCATCTGTCGTTCCATGGCTCGCTGAGTTTTTCGAATCTTGTCCATGTTCTTTTTTGTGAATGTCTAGGTTTGAGCTCCGTAGGTGAGAACGGGAAGGATACAAGAATCGAACACTTTGGTTCGAAGGTTTTGGGGTATCTTTTTGTCTTTCAGTATGTATGAGAGTTTTCCAAATGCGGCCCATCCCATTCTTACTCGTCTGCTTATTTCGGTAGTTTGGCTTTCTTTGTTTACCTTGATATTCTGATCCAGATATATGTATTCTTCTACATGTTCCACTTTTGTTACTTGGATGGTTATCGTCGGTTGATCGCCTTTATTCGACATTAGCTTAGTTTTACTCAGATTCATTTTCAGTCCTTTTTTTATGGATTCCGTATGAAGCTCATCGATCATCGTCTTCAGTTCTTTCCAGCTGTCGGCTATTAGTACTACGTCATCTGCATATCTTAGATGGTTTAAATACTTTCCGTTTATCGATAGTCCCTTCGTTTACCAATTTAGTGATTTAAAGATGTCTTCAAGTGCGGCAGTAAATAGTTTTGGAGATATGGTGTCTCCCTGTCTTACTCCTCGGTTGATTTTTATTGGCCTCGTTTTCATTCCGTTATCCATCGTGACTACCATTTCAGCGTGTTGATATATATTATGTACTAATATCCTATATCTAGAATCTATTCTGCTGTTGACCAGTGCTTCCTCAATAGTCCATAATTCTATGCTGTCAAAAGCTTTCTCGTAGTCTATAAATGCTAAACAGATTGGTAAATTGTATTCGTTAACTTGTTCTATTAGGACCTTTAGTGTGTGAAAATGGTCACATGTACTGAACCCTTTTCTAAATCCGGCTTGCTCTATTGGTTGATATACATCGAACTTTGTTGTCAATCTATTTGTAATTATTTTTGTGAATGTTTTATAAAGTTGTGATAGTAGTGATATTGGACGATAATTTTTCAGATCTGTATTGTCCCCTTTTTTGTGTATTAATATTGTGTTAGCAGTATTCCATTCCTTTGGTATGTTTCCTTCAAATAGGCATTTATTAAAAAGTATTTTTAGGTACCTGACGACTTCTTCTCCGCCTTCTTTCAACATTTCTGCCAGAATTCCATCACTACCCGGTGCTTTATTTTTTTTCATTTATTTAATTGCATTTTCTATTTCTACTTCGCTTATTTCGGGCATTACTTCAGAATTTACGTTTGTTATTTGTCTTTTCAGATTTTGCTTTGAAGAGTCGGGGGGATCGTTTCTTGAGAGGTATAACTCAGTATAGAAGTTTTCAACTATGTTTGATATCTGAGCTTTGCTTGTTTCTAGTTGGCCTTGTTGATTTTTCATAGTTATAATATTTTTCTTTCCTAATTTCGGTTTGGTATATTTCAGACTTCGATTTTTCTCTATCACTCTTTCTACATGTTCTTGTTGATGTTTTTTAATATCGTCTTTTATCTGTTTTCGTATGGCTCGATTAAGTTCTTTGTATTATGTGGTATTTCTTTTGTTTAGTTTTGTTTAGTCTCTTTTCGTTGTTTCAGCATATTCTTCGATTCTGCACTTATTTTGGATTTTTTGTTGTTATGGCGGGTTGCTACTTCTGAGCTAGCATTCAATAGTTCTTTTGTTATAACTGAGTTAATTTTATTAACGCTGAGTTGTTCTAGATTCAGTGCTTGGGCGGTTTTTAATTTACTAGCATATTTTTCTTTATCGACTTTTAGCTTTTCTGTGTCTATTTGTATCATGTTATTAAAGTTAATTCTACGTTGAAATTTATATTTAACATATTTCTGGTATTAATAATAAGTTTATGAGATGAGTTAAGACATAAAAGTATATACTGATGATGCTCAGTTGGAAAACACCTAAAAATATTGTTTTTAGTTCACACATAGAACTTGCATTTTGAAGTGTTTAAAAAATATAAACTTTTCCGGTTTTTTTATCACACTCATTAAGTTTCGTCGAATGCAGGTGCTGCTAGGGTATATATTTTCACCTTGAGGTCGACTGTTTTAAACATTAACAAATCATTTCTTCGCTTTTGTTCATCACTTGCCATCGAGAAAGCACCAGTGGGTTGGTACGCTGTGACAAGCTCGACTCTTTCGTTCAATAGTACTATTACTCAGTCAGCGTGGTTTGAGGGTCGACATAGTACGCGAATATCTTTTTAAGTAGATTTGTGACCGGTCGTGAGTTGCTTGTGCTCGAAGAAAATAGCTCATCAAAATGACAATACCAGGTCAGTGCTATTCATTTATTCTATTAATATTTTTCAAGAGTTAAATTTATTATTTATTATAAATTAAATGATATTAAATAATATTTCAACGAACTATTGCTTAGAGGTAGTGCCCATTTAAATAATTAAAAATCAAAAGTTGTGTCTTTGAAATCCTTACAAAACATTTTTTTTACTTTTGTAAATAAGTTGTTTAAAATTTTTCAATAGTGTATATATCTCACATTTTAATTTATTTTAGTAGTTTTTAAATAAAAACATTTCAGACTTTATGAAAATAATATAAAATGTAAACGAAACATGTCAAATTTGTTTTATTTCTAAAACAATTGCTAGACACTAAAGTTATTTTGGAAAAACCTCTTTCAGCTGCTTTTAGAAACAATGGATAAAAATTCTCATCATTTTATATATTTCTTAAGCTTTTGCTTTGTACATTTCTTTTAATTACTTGGCATTCTTTATTTTGGCAAAATTTATTTTTATATCATTAACCCTTGTGCTTTGGTCATATGTTGGCTATCAGCGCAGTTTGATAAAGCCATAGTTTGAAACCCCTTTTCTGCGAAGTGTCATTTTAGTGTTTTAATAACATTGACAAAGATTTCATGAAATAACATTTGACTGGTAGCTCTCTTTTCTTCGATGCTATTTTCCGTTATCAGTTAGAAGATTTGATTTTATCGTTGCATACTACCTGACCAAAAGGGCACATACTAGTTTGCTTAGAAAAGATAGTTTAAAAATGCCTCTCTATCTATCTACTTAGCCTTCTTCGGTCCATCTTTGGACATAGGCCTCCCCAATTCTTTTCCATTCTTCTCTGTCTGTCGCTACAGTCATCCATCTAGAGCCCACGTGCTTCTTGATATCATCTGCCCATCTCATTTGGGGCCTTCCTCTGCTTCGTTTATATTCCCATGGTCTCCAACTTATAAGAATTTTGTTCCATCGGTCTTCTTTTTGTCTTATATTGTGTCCGGCAAATCTCCATTTCAATTTTGCAACTTCTTGTCTAACATCCCTCACTTTTGTTTTCTCTCTTATCCACTCGTTTCTCTTTTTATCAATTAGTCTTATGTGCAACATTTGTCTTTCCATTGCTCTTTGGGTTTTTATGATTATTTCCATGTTTGCTTTTGTAGATGTCCACGTTTGGGAACCATAAGTAAGAACAGGGAGTACGCATTGATTATATACTTTGGTCTTAAGATGCTGTGGATATCTTTTGTTTTTAAGAATGTAGCTTAGTTTGCCAAATGCTGCCCATGCCAGTCTAACTCGTCTCTTGATCTCTGCTGTTTGGTTCTCTTTGTTAAGTTTTATAGTTTGACCAAGATATATATAATCCTTAACTTGTTCTATTTTATCTTGTCCGATTCTCATTGTGATGTCTTCATCTGTATTTGTTATAGTTTTGGTCTTGCTTTAATTCATATTAAGGCCTATCTTTCCAGCTTCTACGTCCAGTTCTTTCATCATTTCAAATAATTCTTCTTTTTTATCGGTTATCAATACGATGTTATTAGCATACCTTAGATGGTTCAAGCATTGTCCACAAATTTTTATACCTTTTTTTCCCATTCTAATCTTTTAAAAGTATCTTCAAGAGCCTAATTGAAAAGTTTCGCTGATATTGTATCACCCTGTCTCACGTCTCTACTTATTTGTAATGATTTTGTTCCTTCATATACTTTAATTGTTGTTTTGGCTTCCTTATATATATTGGTTATTAGTTCCGTATATCTGTGGTCAATTCGGCTGTTAATCAAAGAACTTTTCACTGCCCAATGTTCGACACTGTCGAAAGCCTTTTCGAAATCTATGAACGCCATATATAGAGGAATGTGGTATTCATTTGCTCGTTCTATAAGTATTTTCATACTTAGCAAATGGTCACTTGTGCTGAATCCCTTTCTAAAACCAGCTTGTTCTTTGGACTGGTATCCATCGAATTTTGTCGTCAATCTATTGGTTAAAATTTTTGTTAGGAGTTTATACATTACATTGAGGAGTGTTATAGGACGTTAGTTTTTTATATCTGCTTTATCCCCTTTCTTGTGTAGGATAATGGTTACTGATTCCTTCCAGTTGTTTGGGATTCTTTTTTCTTTTAATATCTCGTTAAAAAGGGAATGTAGAGTATTAATTACCAATTTTCCAAGTAAAAATGCCTTTGGTAGGTACAAAATGAATAGTAATGAATAGCCAGGGTCAGCGTAAATACAGAATGTTGTCTTTATAAAGCAGATACTTTAATATATTTTATTATTAAAACTTTTAATAAGTATTTCTCAATAATGTCGGGTAGAGACAGCAGCCCGCTTAAGGCCTTTATTCATTTTTAATCCATTTGACAAATTATTTTCAACCTTTACCTTTGAATTAGCATTAGCGTACAGTTCCTTCGTCACATTTATTAATTCATGATTATGTTTGTTTTCTCTTATCTCCCATAATTTATAATGTGGTATGCTATCATAAGTCTTACGTAAGTCTACATACAATTAATGTACTTCTGCTTGTTCCTCAGCCTCTAAGTCTTTATATTTGCTTTCTATTCTGTTTTTAATTACTTTTTCGTATATTCTATTGATCGAGTTTGTCACGGCAATGCCTCTGTAATTGTCACATTCATCCCTTCTGCCTTTTTTGTGTATAGTGGATATGAATGATGTCTTCCACTCCTCTGAGGTTGTCATTCCATTAATGCAGTTTTCGAACAGTTTGGCTAGACTTGCATATAGTTTGGTTGTACCGTGTTTAATTAACTCTGCAGGGATGCTACCTGGATACGATGCTTTGTCATTTTTTAGAGATCTACATACATCTTCCACTCCTTTCGTTGTTATTCGTGTAGGCGAAGTTAAAATATTTGTATTTTGTTTTGTTGCTGTCTTTAAATTGTGGTCTATCTTCCCTTAGGAGTTTTTCAAAATATTGGTCTCAATCATCCATTGTTATTGTTGACAATATGTCTCTCTTCTTATCTTGTCATAAAAATTTTAAGACTCTCCAACTTTCTGTGCTATTTCGTCCTCCTATATGTGAATTTATCATGTTACACTTTTGTTGCCATGCTTCATTTTTCTTCCGACGTATCATTTTTTGTACTATAGCTTGAGACTTCTTGTAGAATATTTTATTCGTTATATAATTTTCGATATTGGTCTCTTTTCTTTTTTATTTCTTGTTCTAATGCTTCGTTAAACCAATATGGAAGTTTTCTTTAATTCTGGATTTGGTATTAAATGGCTTCTGTTGCTACCTCCTGCAGACATCTTGTTATATGAGTGTAATATTCTTCATTATTATTAAATTGTTTATTTTCCAACTTTTGATTTAATCAATTTCTGTATAATTCTCTCACGCTTTTTTGTTCTAACCTGATTAGGTTATACATCTTTTGTATTACTTTCTCCCTTCATTTTCTTCTTTTTTAGGTTTATTTACTCCAAATGTGATCTTTGCTTCTAATAAGTGATGATCGCTTCTACAGATAGCTCCTCTTAATACTCTTACATCTTGTACAATCATATTTGTCTTGTGTCGTATGATTTTGTTGTCTATAATTGATTTTAACCTTCTCGTATTTTGCGTCCAAGTGTATTTGTGTATATCTCTGTGTTGAAAAAATCCATTTGGAATTTTTATTTAATTTTTTTCGCATAATGATATTAGTCTGGTACCATTATCATTTACGCTATCCTCTCCGAATTGACCTGTAATTGCGGTATGGGTTTTTTCCAGTTCTGCTGTTTAAGTCTCAAAAAGATAATAATTTCTCGAGATGTCGAATTTTGCAACCTCAAAATTCAATTTCTAAAAAAAAAACGTTTTTAATGTTTACTGGTACGTCATCATTTACTGCATACACCCATGATACTATGACTTCCAAGATAAAACCACTTCGCAATCGAATTTTGTCCGTCGATGCGCATGATGTCATTTGGTGATAAAAGTTTATCTTAATTTAAAATTCTGAAATATATTTTATCTATAAGTGCACACATTTATTTGTCAACGTACTAGATATACGATAAAACAATACTAAATCTGACAAAACTCCATGCAAAACAGAACATTTCTGGTGACATTTGTCGCCAAGTGACGTCACACGTGCAAACGAGATAGACTGATCGCGTGCGCGTGGGTTTATCTTTAGTTCATAGTATCATGATATATACCCAGGATTGTGCAATTGTGTTCACTGATCGTAAGATTCATTTTTATCAATTTCTTCTTTATGGCCTCCCAAGTAGTTATATATTTCCTTAGCTTCTTACGTATTAATATAGCAACACCTTGTTGAGCTCTTTTCTTCTTTGGTACCCCGCTGCAGAAGTGATCATATTCTCCGAGGTTTTCTGATCCTTGGCCCTTTTGTTTAGTTTCGGTGAAAACTGTGATGTCCAATTTCATCAGGTGCTTTACTATAATCTTTTATTAATAAAACTTTTTCTCTTTTTCTAAAAGTATTTCTCAAACTTTGTAGTTACCTAAATACAAAACTACTTCTTACTCAGAATGTTATAACTAAACTATTTTATATACTTCTTTCTGCCCCAACTACTGTTCTAAAAGATGTTAGTGACGACTGTGAGTGTTAAAGTAATGACAACAATCTATGTGGTGAGGCAAATGAACCTGATGAAGATCGCTCCCATAAACTTTGTACTCAAAAAGAATTCGATGATTTAGTTCTTCTTGTTGTTCTTCTTCCGTTTTATAAGCAATTCTGCTTGTTCACTGGCGGATTAATCTATTTATGGAAGGTTGTTTCTCCATTTTTTGCCCAGTTGTCCGATATTGCTATTTTAATGACACGGGTCTCCCTCATTCTGCTTATGAGGTTATCCTTTTTTTTCTATTCGGTGTACACTCGTTTATACACTGTATGCTACTAATTTTCTTCTAATGTCTTCACTTAATATTTCGATCTCTCAGCGTATTTCCTGTAATTCTTCTCAGTACTCTTTTCTCTGCCATTTCTAGTAGGC